AAGGGCAGCAGTGAAGAGGCGCTGGTGTGAGGGAGGTAGGGGAAGGGTGACAGTGAAGAGGCGCTGGTGTGAGGGAGGTAGGGGAAGGGTGACAGTGAAGAGGCGCTGGTGTGAGGGAGGTAGGGGAAGGGCGGCAGTGAAGAGGCGCTGGTGTGAGGGAGGTAGGGGAAGGGTGACAGTGAAGAGGCGCTGGTGTGAGGGAGGTAGGGGAAGGGTGACAGTGAAGAGGCGCTGGTGTGAGGGAGGTAGGGGAAAGGCAGCAGTGAAGAGGCGCTAGTGTGAGGGAGGTAGGGGAAAGGCAGCAGTGAAGAGGCACTGGTGTGAGGGAGGTAGGAGAAGGGCAGCAGTGAAGAGGCGCTGGTGTGAGGGAGGGGGAAGAGTGATGGGTAAGGGAGGTAGGGAAAGCCTGCTGGGTGAGGGATGCGGGGAGGGAGAGGGAGCCTGGAGAGGGATGCGGGGAAGGAGAGGTAGCCTGGCGATGGAGGAGAAGGGAGGGAGAGTATCGCAAAGGGAGAGAGGGGCAGACTGCTAATCCTCATTGAGACCCTTACACCCACCACCTCACGACTGACCCTCCTCGACGCAAAATTAAGACAGGATGATTGTACTCAATAATGTAGATTTCACACGTGCAAACCGACCAACCGACAGGATCAAAAAGGCACAGACTGGCGGTATATGTATCGATAACAAACGATCACGCACCCGGGAATAGAGATGCCTCCATTGCGCTGACTCACTATGAGTTTACGACTTAATAAGACGCACGATAACGACGAAAAACCGCTCACGGTAACAAACTCTCTTTAGTAGATATATATTTATATATGTATATATATAATTATATAGATAGATAGCCACCAGCTGGATGGACGGCGCCCCCTTCTGTAGGTAACTTCAACCTATCGGCTGGTCACACCGTCTGCACACGGGGACGGACGAAGTTCGTGTCGAAACCGCTCGGTAGATGGCGCTAGAGACATGTTTCTTCTGCCGGGGGTTCTAGTCACCTGGATGGGCAGCTGGAAGCAGACGGCAGGCTGCTGTTGTTGGCCGAGTGATCGCTCGCCGACGTCGCGATGCTGAGTGAGGAGAAGCCACTGTGGCACGACTGGAGACTAGTCATGGAGCCTCTGTGAAATGAGAACATATACACGGAGGGCTAAGGTCATTGCTTGATTCACATTGGTGATGGGAAATTAAACGTTTCTGAGGTAATCACTAGATTCTAGTCTCCCCACGACATCTGTGTACAAAAGGAGGTCATATAATATTACATATAATATGAAGCAATTATTTCACATTTCAAATCAGTCGAGAGAGAGAGAGAGAAAGAGAAAGAGAAAGAGAAAGATAGAGAGAGAGAGAGAAAGAAAGAGAGAGAGAGAAGAAGAAGAAGAAGAAGAAGAGAGAGAGAGAGAGAGAGAGAGAGAGAGAGAGAGAGAGAGAGA